CTTCCTTCCGAGGAGTGGCTGGTGGGTTTGAGCCACCAGTCCTCTGGTTAGCAGTCAAGTGCCTTAGGCACTATGCTACCAGAGCTCCTCTAGAGGGACAGGATTAAGAAACATGAGAGTGGCTGAGTGGTTAGGAAAGGCCTCTTTAAGGAAGGGACATTTGTGCTGAGACCTTGAGGATGAGAAGGAGAGACTTGGGCAAAGATCCAGGAAAGAGAGTTCCAGAATAAGGCGACAACAAGTTTGAAGGCTGTGAGGCAGGCCTAAGACTGGCGTATTGGAGGATGAGCAAGGAGGTCAGAGTGTGTGAAGCAGAGTAGGGAGGGAGGAGAGTGGTAGAAGATGGCCTATGGGAGGTAGGCAGTTAGACTATGTAAGACATGGTAAGGAGTTTGTCTTTTATTTTAAGAGTAACAGGAAACTATTAGAGAATTATAAGGAGAATGGACAAAGATATGATTTCCCTTTATGAGGGACCCTTCTGGTTGATGTGATGTGCTAAGAATAGACTCGGGGGGGGGGGGATAAAGGCAGAGGCAGGAAGATGCATGAGATGGGTACAGCAATCATGGGGACTCAGCCCAAAATGGTGGCAGCAGCAGTGGTAAGAAGTTGCTGATTTGAGGATGTATGTTTTGGAGGCTGAGTATGCAGGTTTTGTTGATGGATTAGATGCAGGATGGGGTGTGAGGGGAGAAAGAATCAAGAATGACTCCAAGATTTTTGGCCTAAACACTAGAAAAGAGAATTATAATTTCCTGAGATGAGGCTCACCGATGAGATTAGATCTGAGAAGGAATCAGGAGCTCAGTTTTGCCTTGTTGAGCTTAAGATTGGTTATCCCAGTGGAGATGTCAAGTGGACAGTTGGGTATGTAGGTCTGGAGTTGAGGAGACAGGGCTAGATATTTAAATTGCAGAGACCTTGGCAAATAGATGGCATTTAAAGCCACATTAGATGAGCTCTCCTGAGGGCAGGGGGTATTGTCAGAGAAAGAAGACAACTGATTGTTTTCACAGGACAGCATTTCCATGGAGGAACCACAGTTGAGGGTAGGAGAAACACAGGCCTATATCCTTTGCAGTTCCAAGACCCCAGATCTGGAAGCCAGGACTCTGACTGGAAGCTACATGCAGTTTTCAGAGCAGTATCCCATGTGGGCTGGTCAGCCAACCCCCACACCACCCAGGGAAAGCCAGGGCTTACGATGGGGGCATTGCGGAAGCCTTTGATGGCTTGAAAGACTCCGCCGCCGATGACACCCATGGTAAAGGCTCCACCGCAGTCATCCACAATTCGCCAAGGGCTGAAAAAGGGAAGGGGTGGAAGAGATGAACATAAACCCTCCCCCATGCCCTGGCACACGCACTCCTTAAATGTTTTCCTTGCCCTACCTGCTTCCCTATTACAGTCAACTAAGAATCTTCCAATCGCTTTACTCAAAAACCAAACTCACTGCCATCAGTTGACAATGATTGATACAGACAGAGTTGACACGTTTAAATAAGCAATACAGAAGTGTTAGCTAGTGCATTGTAATTAAAATAGGACAAGGTCGAACTCCTTCTCCAACAATGGTGCCTCCAACCGAGCCCCACCCCCTTCCCCCTTCCCCCTTTTAATGGAGCACAACAGAAAAAAATCAAGAGCAGCTGGGTGGGGAGGATCCAGAGCCCCCTCCTTGCCCACAATAGGCTCATCCAGGCCCCGCCTTCTCCATTAGCTGAAGACGCTTAGGGAAAACCACGCGTGGTAACTCTGCGGCTTTCTGCTCTCTGTCGCATCACCACCACCACCCGCAGCTGAAACGGGATCGACCACCGTGTCTCTTTTTGTTAACAAAGAGGCGCTGGGAGATACAAAGTAAGGGGCAACATTCGTCGGGTACCGCACCACCTCCAGACGCAGTTGCTGCCCCACTTAACGAAGCTCGGGCGGGAGGAGATAAGTTTCTAAGTCTCCCAAATCTGGGCCGTGGCGCTGTGTGGCTGGCGCCTCCCCTGCCCACCTCCCACGACTGTCTACGGCGCCACAGCAACAGTCCCAATTGCCTGTGCCCATCTCCGTACCAAGGCTCGCGAGCGTACTCCTCCATGGCGCCGGCGTCCCGCCGCGCAGTCAGGCCAGATCCGGCTGGGCTACGCCCCCTATGTAAACGTACACAGGCACCGGAGCTTTCCACCTATTCCAGGACAAGGGTTGGGTCATTTCACCATACGTAAGGCCAATGGCTGAGTCTCATTGGTCACCCAGGTTGCGTCATCTGTCCGCCTCAGCCTCCAAGCGTCTCCCAGTTACCTAAAGGCTCGGGGAGAAAGGACCTCCTTCTGTTCTTTGAGAGAAGAGAGTGTGGTCCGGGTGATCATTGCCGAGAAGAGAGAGAGGCGGCCTGACAGCCTTTCACTGCCTGTGAGACTGTATTGGTAACACCAGGGTGGGTGCATTCTTTTGGAGCTGGAGATGCTGTACTATGCTCCCCTATTTCAGCACTTTGTTTCCTCCCACCCAGCAGTCTTTCGGGGACGTTGGGTGAGCCCATTTCCGCGGCGTGGGGGGGGACATGCTTCTCCCCTTCTGCGGTGGGCGGAGCCTGGGCCTGTTAGAGGAACCCCGGAAGTGAGCACTTGAGGAGGGTGGGGTGGGTGAGAGTTTTGGTTAATATTGCCACTTATATTCCCCACCTTTTAATGCGTAGTTTCCGCCTGCTCAGCTACTGGTGCAGATGAGGAGGTAGGGGTCAGATGAGTTTATGCTGACGGGAGGCCCTTGGTTACAGGATCTGGATTCTAATCCTCATCTAATCTGATTTTTACTTTGTCTGCCCTAGATTTGTCTGCTACCCGCTATGCCATTGCCTGTGGCGCTACAGACCCGTTTGGCCAAGAGAGGCATCCTCAAACATCTGGAGCCTGGTGAGAGCTAAGAGTAGATGGGCCCACCATGTGCTAGGCTTACAGGCATTTTGTTGTTGATATTGACACTTTATACCTAGCATGAGCCTACTGTGTGTCCAGCAGTGGGATGAAACAATATGGATTTCTCACATGCATTACTACCATGTGCCAAACATTGTAGAGGGATAGACATTTTATCCTTAACTGACAGCTGATGACTCTTTTGGTTTGTTGCATTCCAAGTTCTACCCGGTGGTAACAAAGTAACAGTAAGGATGGCTGACATATACTGCAGTCTCCTGTGTGCCAAGTACATTGTTGATGTTGATAGTTTGTTGATTATAATATGATAGAAACATGTATTTCAGGCTTATTGTTGTGCCAGCTACTGTGCTGGTGATATACACCTTGTTCACCTTATTTGTAGCTGACATGTATTTTGGGCATACTAAGTGCCTGGCTCTGGTGGTGTAGTGCCTAAGGCATTTGACTGCTAACTGGAAGGCTTGAGGTTCAAACCCACCAGCCACTCCTCGGAAGGAAGGTTGGGCAATCTACTTCTATAGTGATATCGCCTTGGAAACCCAAGGAGGGATCACTATGAGTGGGATCCAACTTGATGGCAGTGAGTGTGGTTTTGTTTCAAGTGCCTGGCATACATATTGTCCACAGTATAAAATAATAGCTTTGGCCAGATCAGGTCCACATCCCACAGCAAATAAAACCATGCACACACTGTAGGCGTTTGCTACAATGGAACTTTGCTTGTAGAAGTGGTTGTGTTGTTATGTGCCATTGAGTCGGACCCAACTCATAGCGACCCCTCGGGTTTCCGAGGCAGTATCACTATGGAAGTAGACTGCTCCATCTTCCTTCCAAGGAGTGGCTGGTGGGTTTGAACCACCAGCCTTCTGGTTAGCAGTCAAGTGCCTTAGGCACTACGCTACCAGAGCTCCCTTGTAGAAGTGGAGGACCCTGGATTTGAGGCCAGCTCCATCTGCCTCTGTCCACCTGTGTGTGACCAGGCAACTCCTTCCCTCTCAGAGCCTCAGTGTCCACAACTGCACAATGGACAAGGCCCCACCTTGCAGACATCCTGTTATTAATACTGAAAGCTAGTGTTAATTTTGAGCTATGGTATGCCAAGCTCTGAAAAATACTTCTTACTGTTCACCATATTGAAATTTACATCAGTTATAGGCCTACTCTGTGCCAGCCATAGACTTTATGGTTGATAATACTGATAATGATTGATACTAATTTTAAGCATACTGAGTTCTATGCCCTGTGCTGATGACATAACGTCTGATTATCAATACAAATGACAATAGCTGACATCTGTTTTGGGCATACTGTGTGACAAGCACTATGCTCTTGCTGACATACACATTTCATTGTTTATAGCTGAAATCTATTATAGGCCTATTATTTTCATTGTGATGTGAGTAAAAGTTTACAGAGCAAATTCATTTTCCATATAGCAGTTCATACATTTTGTTTCATGACATTGACTACAATTTCCCACAATGTGACAGCTCTCTTCCCACTTCCTCCCTGTAGTTACCTTTTCTCTGTGTCCTTCTTTCCTATGCCTTCCTGTCCCCTGAGCTATCTCCCTGTGCAAACACTGCCCTTCTGTTCTCCCATGCTTGATTGCTCTAAGGAGTGTAACTACCTGATATAAATGTTCACCCTATATTCCTGTCTGTTGTTTGGCTGGAAGCCATGGGAGTTGAGTTCAATTCCAGACCTGAAGGGTAACTAGGGGCCATAGTCTTAGGGGTCTTGCCAGGCTCCATCAGACCAGTAAGCCTGGTCTTTTTTATTTTATGACTTTGGGTTTTGTTCCACATTGTTCTCCCCTATCTAGGATCTCCTGCACTGACCCTTTTCTGAATGGTCAACCAGTGGTAGCTGGGCACCATCTAGTTCTTCTGGTCTCATGGTCATATAGGCTGAGGTTCACATGGTCCGCTAGTAGTATATACCTTTTTTATTCTATTAACTGGTATCTACTGCAGTCCTGTGTACTTGGCCCTTGGCCATTACTACACCTTGCCACTCAGGAACTGAATGGATTCAGAGAAATGTTTGGATAAACCCCTGGTATTCAAGATACAGGGATGTGAAATCCCGTGTTTGCCAAGCTTGAGAGTTGTATAAATTTGGACATATCTTCAGATACATTCCTTGCTAGCAAACTTATTTTGTTCAAATAGATTTGGCTAACATCATGTCATACACTATCTGAACTCAGGAGCTGAATAGATGTCAATAAGTTTTTTGATGAATTCCTGTGCAAACCCAGAAATCAGATAGGTTCAGATAAAAGTATGACTTATCATTGGAACCCAGAAACAGAAGAAATTTGGATAATTATTGGGTAAATCCCAATCGTCAGATATTTGTATATTGCAAGCAGTGTTTTGTCTGCTTCCTGGCACACACATGTGCATGTGCCTTCCATGTGTGATTTGTGATTGGCTAAGTGTGTACATGTGAGCATGTGTGTCTCTCCAGGCCCTGATGACACAATGAGAATTTCCCTGATCCTTAACTGCTCTCCCCACCTCCTACCCTTGTCCTGCCAGAACCAGAGGAGGAGATCATTGCTGAGGACTATGATGATGATCCTGTGGACTACGAAGCCACCCGGTTGGAAGGCCTACCACCAAGCTGGTATAAGGTGTTTGACCCTTCCTGGTGAGCCTGGGGACCTGAGGGGGGGTGCAAGGGGGGAATGACTCCCAACCTTACTCTTCCTGTGCTATCCCTGGCCTTGAGGTTTATGGGGGACATGGGAAATCTAGGGGTCCTCCTTGTGGGGTCCTGAAATGGGCAGGTATAGGCAGAGATCAGGGAGACATGAGTTGAGACAAAGGAGAGGACATCTATACTGACACTCCTCCCTCCCTTCCTCCCGTTACCTTGCAGTGGACTCCCTTACTACTGGAATGTAGACACAGACCTTGTGTCCTGGCTTTCCCCACATGACCCCAACTCCGTCGTTACCAAATCTGCCAAAAAGCTGAGGAGCAGTAATGCAGGTGAGTTGGCAGGTCCAAAGGTCCCTGGAGCAATTCAAGCAATTCTCAGGGGAATGAAAAGCAAAAACCCACTGACATTGAGTCAATTCCAACTCATAGTGACCCCTCATTGAGTTTCCGAGGCGGTAAATCTTTATGGAAGTAGATTGCCCAGTCTTCCTTCCACGGAGTGGCTGGTGGGTTTGAACTGCCAACCTTCTGATTAGCAGTCAAATGCTTTAGGCTCTGGCCCCCAAAAAAAAAAAAAAAAAAAAAAAAACCCACTGCTATCAAGTCAATCATGACTCATAGTGACCCCCATTGGGCTTCCAAGGTAGTAAATCTTTACAGAAGTAGATTACCCAGTCTTCCTTCCCTGGAGTAGGTGGTGGGTTTAAACCACCAACCTTCTGGTTAGCAGTCAAATGCCTTAGGCACTGTGCCACCAGAGTTCCTTAATTCTCAGAGAGGGGCCAGGTAAATAATAGTGGATCAAGGAGGGGCAGGAGAGACCAGACAGGCCCAGCCCCAGGCAAGGGAGGTTGTTGAAAGCAAAGGCTGCTGGGCCTGGGGTAGGAGGAAGAAGGTCACTTCAAGGCTTTCGTGTCCCCAGATGCTGAGGAGAAGTTGGACCGGAGCCATGACAAGTCAGACCGGGGCTATGACAAGTCAGACCGGGGCCATGACAAGTCGGACCGAGGCCATGACAAGTCGGACCGGGGCCATGATAAGTTGGACAGAGACCGAGAGCGTGGCTATGACAAGGTGGACAGAGAGAGAGAGAGGGACAGAGATCGGGACCGGGATCGCGGATATGATAAAGCAGACCGAGAAGATGCCAAAGAACGGCGTCACCATCGTCGGGAGGAGCTGGCTCCCTACCCCAAGAGCAAGAAGAGTAAGCTAGCAGGGTTGGAACTAGGGCGCAGCAAGCAAGACTACGGTACAGAGTATGGAGGAGGAACTTACACACCAAAGTGCCTGGAGCTGGGGCCCAGGATAACATGAGCATGGGATGAGGGTACTGTAGCCCATGGCAGCCAAGTGTTCCATTTATTGCTGGCTGGGGGTTGGGGAGTGTTCAGGAATCGAGTGTTTGAGGGTTCCTTGTGCTTGGGTTAAAGCCCTCACTCTCCTACTTCCTTCCACAGTGGGAAGCCGAAAGGATGAAGAATTAGATCCCATGGACCCCAGTTCATACTCAGATGCGCCCCGGTAAGTGAGAACCCCTCATGAGCCCTGTTTTTCCTCCCTGCACTAGTGGACACTGTCCCTTTCCTCCTCACTATCTCCTTTCCCCATTTGTCATTTTTTTTGAGGGGAGACCCCCAACACTCACATTCCCACCCCTGACCCTCTATCACCCCTAGGGGCACATGGTCAACAGGGCTCCCCAAGCGGAATGAGGCCAAGACAGGTGCTGACACAACAGCAGCTGGGCCTCTCTTCCAGCAACGCCCATACCCGTCCCCAGGGGCTGTGCTCCGGGCCAATGCTGAGGCCTCCCGAACCAAGCAGCAGGACTGAACCTTCACCTTTGCCCCGGCTCGGGTTTTCAATAAAAGCTTTTCTGTGGCTCATGCCTGTGTTTCCTTTGCTCTCGCTCTCTTTTGAGGCTTCTCAACCCAAGCCATCGAGATGCAAGACACATTTTATTTGCAAAAACTCACCTAAGAAATAGCATGGGGGTGGCAAGGACATGAGATTGGCAGGGCTAGAGGCTGAGGAGGGTCATGTCCATGCCCTCGTAACCAGAGAAAAAGGTTAGTCATGTCAGCTCTGCCTAGGGGCGGAGCGTGGTGGGGACAGGGAGTTTGGTGTCTGCCTCACCCCACCCCTAATACTGATCAGAGTTTGGTCCCAGCTGGGCCAGGGCAAGAAGGGAGAACAAGGCCAGGCCAACGTCTTCAATCCCAGCAGCTACGAACCCTTCACCTTGGTGAGCAACCTGTGGTGGGAACGGGAAGGAAAGAAAAACACAGAAAGCTGGGGTGGGCTGGCAGGTGGGTTTCCTGAGCAAGCGAAGGGCAACAGCAGTGGGGCTGGCACCCCTGGGTTAGTAACAATGCCTATGCAGAGAACGCAGATCACCTGAATCAGAAAGCTGCACATGGACTAAATAAATACAACATCTTTATTTGGCATTGGATATCCTGACATTTTTTTTTTCCATTACAGTTCCTTAGAAAACAAATCAAAAAATCAGAACAAATTAATCAAAAAATAAAGATCCAATGGCTCTATTTACATATAGCAAAGACAGTCCAGGCATCTCCCATGCACTCACACACTGGGATACAGTTAAGGGGTTAATAAGCTTTGGGGAATGCAGTGGGTGGGTTCCACATTTCATCAATTCTAAGGCACCCCCCCACACACACTCACACACACACATATATACACACAGTCAAACACACTATGGGTGCATCATATAGCCAGTGGGCTATCAAGAGTGTGGCTGGCAGCTTTTTCTTCTCTGGATGTCTCAGAAAATAACTGTGCATCCGGCAACTGACAGTGTCTTAGAGTCAGTGAGATTCAGCCACTGGCAGCAAGGACCCCCATTCCCACCCCATTCCTCCACCCTGGATCATTATCTGATTACACTGTGAATCAAAAAAATAACCACTAAAAAACAAACAGCCCCTATTGCACCCTCCCCCAGAATGGGCTGATGTAAAAATCTCAGCAGCCATTAACAGTGGCTCCTGCCTGCTCCTCTCTGGGTATTCACAAGCAGCTCATTTTCAAGGGTCTCAGTGTCAAGAGAAGCAGCCCCAAGGCCACGCAGAAGACCAAGCTGCTAACATGATCCAGCATGGTTGTGAGGGAGGAGAGAAGGCCTTAAACTATGGGAAACAACCCCACAGTTAGGCAATTACTGATTACTAGAGAGCAGTAGGATTTCTGTCCAATTTGTCCTTTAAAAGGAGGAATGGCTGGGAGGAACTCTCCCAGATGTGAGAGGGGATAACTCCAGCAGAGGGAGGCAGACAAAATAAAACGGCATTGAATGACATCCGCAACCCTGTCCCCAAAGGGATTGAACTAGGGCAGAGGAGGCAGTTCTAAAACCCCCTCTGGTGGAGAGGGGGTAAGCCTACTAGAAAGGGTGATGTGATGCTCAGCCCTAGTCCCATGCCACGCCGCCCTCTGACATCTCAATGACCTGGGAGAAAAGACTGCCTGCCAGCCCCAGAAGGGCCAGGCCCCAGCAGAAACTTGAGGCCTGTAGATGCCCGATGCCCTCCACCCGTCCCCTCCCTATCTCCCCCCGACCACTGTCAGCCCTTACTTCACCAGCACTGACTTTGGCAGAAAGGGCTCCGTGATGAGGTCTCCATGGTGGGCAGACAGCTGTGGTGGTGGTGGCTGCCCCGGAGGCTGCTGGTACATGCAGGGCCCAGAGGCAGAGGCAGAAGTGGAAGCTATGGCTTTGGCTGTACCTCGGGGAAGGCTGTAGAGGTAGACGGCACCGATGACAAGCCCGGCGCCAAGGGCAAATAACGGGTCCACGTGGAAACCAAAGAGGCGAATGGAGGCAACAGTGGACAGCACTATGGACAGGGAGGTGGCAAAGCCCTTGAGGATGTTGTCAGCGTACTTGACGACAACAGCTACCAGGAGCCCACCAAAAGCCTGGTTGAGCACTACACCCCAGACAGCAGGTGTGTACCCAAAAAAGAAGCCACGGTGGGCCACAGCAGTGCCCTCTGCCCACCAGAGCCCCACCAGGCCCAGTGCTGTGCCGAAGAGGCCGAGCTGCAGGTTGCGCAGCCACACGGAGCCTGAGCTGCCTTTGAGGATCTTCTCAAAGTAGACACCTGCGAAGCCTGAGGAGAGACAGGAGGCCACCACTGCTGCAAGGCCTGCCCCGGGGTTCTGATCCAGTGGCCGTGGGCCCCCACCACCAGCTTGCTGCGCCTGGACAATGGCGACACCAGTGAAGAGGAGCAGCAGGGAGGCCCACTGCAGCCGTGAAAGGCTGCGGTTCAGCATGAGCACGGAGAACAGTGCCGTGGTCAGGATCTTCAGCTGGTACGTCACCTGCGAGTGGCATGTGGAAGGCACTGAGGGCTGAGCCTGACCCCAAAGTGAGCCCATGGTGGATAGCACCTATTGTGGCCCCCCAGGCACAAAGGGAAGATAGGGTGGGGTAGATGGAATGAAAACAGAAATAATACCCAGCCACTGGCCAGTGACAGATTTGTAGCTAGATAAGTTTTGAGTGACTCCCAGAAAATACACAATAGGATGGCTATGCCAGGAAGTCCCTGGCCACACCCCAACCTTACTACTTCCTAGCTTTGTGACTAGGGACAAAGCAGTTGCCCTGTCTGAGCCCTGGCGTCACCATCTGTAAAGTAGGGCTGATGTATTTAAAACACCTCACACAGTGTAGGTAATGAATACATGGTAGGTTTTGTGAGAGAGGTCTTGATAAATACGTGTTGATACATACCAACCAACCACACAGCAATAATATTAGCAATTATTTACATAGTACTTAACCATGTGCCAGGTGGGGGTCTAAATACTTTATATGAAATAGATTAAGACATAGAAAGGTTAGGTGACGTGCCCAATATCACACAGCTAGAAAGTGGAAGAGCTGGGATTTGAACCCAGACAGATTGGTCCCAGAATCCAGGTTCTTTAAGCATTTCACAAAGTAGCCCACAAATAACTTAAAGCTTATCATCAAGGGATCTTCACAAGTATTCTTTTTTCTTTTTTTTTTTTCAATCATCCCAGCATCCCAGTGAGGAGGTATTACCATTTCCCTTCCCAGTTTTCACAGATGAGGAATCTGGGGTGGAGGAATCCCGTTCCAAGGATGTTCAGAAGGTGACACAGCCTCTGCTCTCTGCAGCCCTCCCACTATATCCCATATCATCCCCCAAACCAGCCAGTTCCTCTGGGGCCATGCTGGGCTTGGGGCTCACCTGGAAAGTGGCAGCTGGCAGGTTGGAAATAGCAACATACTGGAGATTATTCTGCAAAGTATAGATGAGAGAGGGCACTGCAAGCTTGAGTGTGTCCACATACTGCACCAGGACAGCCTCATGGAGGAAGAGAACCAGGTGCTTCAGGTTACCTGGGTGTGGGGGAGGAGGGATAAGGGACTTTTTAGCACTCACTACAGAGATAGGGCTGCCCTAAAGGCTAGACTAGGCCAGATCTGGTCCCTGTGTCTCCCCCACCAGATCGTGCCCAAGGACAGGGATAAGATCTGTACTCTGTTTGCCCGATAGCACAACCACATCCCCAAGTAAGCCTTTCTAATACAGTTAATTGGACATAAAAGAATCATCCAGAACACAAGTGTTTGATAATCACAGACCATATTAAATGCCCCCAATACATGTTTGAACAATGAAATAATCATCATTAAACAGGAACTTCTGAAGTAGAAGCTCTAGGAGTGTGGGTAGAAGGCTGTTTTAACAACCAGAAGGAGAGTTTTAGCTAGAATTATCCTAGCTCCTTACTGGCCTGTGAGCTGCCTGAGGGCAGGGGCCAGCTCCCATTTGTCCACATCTTGCCATCAGCTCTAGACACATCAAGTTGTCCCTGCCACATGGATGAATGCAGGCTTGAGCATTAAGTGTGTCATTACATAACACAACTAGCAGGGTCTGGGGCTGCACACCATAATCAAGCACATTCATATTTTTGCAATGAATTGTATGAATGTAAACACCAAACAGGCCAAATAAAGAACACAAATATAGAGAGCCCCACACTAGGTCAGGCCAGGTTTTACCATCAAACTAATTCAGAAAAAAAAATATTTTGGGGTTTAACCTGTGATTAAGTCTGTAGCTATTTTTCTCCCCATCTAAAATATCAGCCCTATGATGACAAGATTCACATCTGCATTACTAATAATACATGTATCTTCACAGCCAGTGGAGGGACTAACACATAATGTCCACTCATATGTGTCTACTCAACCAATAAACAAAAGAGCAGGTGGGTTTCTAAAGGGCTGCCTCTCAGGGACTTGGAGTTAATGAGTGGGTAGGAATGTGTTCTTCAACGTAAACACCTAGGGCAGAGCCAAATAATTCATTGCCATCCTTTCATACGCAAGGCCTTTAAAGAAAAACAATTGGGGAGTATTTTTAAGTAGGTGCCCTTTAAGGAGATGTTTAAGTTAGTAGATAAACCCAACTCAATTTTTGGGAAATGTAGAGGAAGGAAGAGCATATTAAATGATACCACAGAGAGGCAATCAGCAAGATCCAGATTACCCAAAGTCTACAGAACAAATGACCTGATGTCATGAACAAATTAATTGCAAAGAGGAACGTAAAGGACATATCAACAAAACAATGCTCCTTATTTAGACCTGATTCAAATTTTTAAAAACTTTTATGACATTTTAAAAAAATTATAAATTTGAGCACTAACTGGATATTTGATTATTTCATTGTTAATTATTTGAATTATTTGTTAATGTGAATTTTTGTTAATTATTTGAATTATTGTTGACTTTTTGAAGTAGGACTTAGTGATTAGTTATTTTTTAAAAAAATATGCATTAAAATATTTATGGATAAAATGACATGTGGGATTTACTTCAAAATAATAAGGGGGGGTGGTAAGCAGACACAGACTGGAGATGAATGGATAATTATTGTTGCTGTTGAATGGAACAGTGTTCAGGAGTGGACAATTGTTCAATCTGGGGGACAGGTAATTGGATAGTTTACTATTCTCTCCAATTCGGCATGTGACTGAAATTCTCAGTTAAAAGTAAGTAAATAAATTACCACGTAAGAGTCACCTGCTACCCTGGGCTGTCATATTCATATTTCTTCAACCCACATAGGCCAACTCCTAGGATCTTAGGGATATAAAAGTGAAGATGCAGCCACTTATAGCTGAAGAGACAGATAATAAGCTTAGTTGCACTTACACACTCCTCAAGCACTTTCACAGATACAGATACTCCCCCAATGGACCTTCTATGTGAGCACTCACGTATGTGCTGAGTACCACTTACTGACCCCAGTGCAGCACTACTCCCACCCAACTCATACCCCTCTTCTGTGCGAAGAGCAGCAGGAGGCAGGTGACACCTTTGAGCACTTCAGCCATGACCACAGCAGTGGTGGCAAAGAAGCGGTCCCCAGGCAGTGTGCGGGCGTAACGGATGCTGAGGATGAGGGAGGCATTCTGGACCACCAGCACAGCTAGGGATATGTACTTCAGGCGCCGGTGAGCTGTGGGGAACAGAAGGAGCAAAGGGGAAGGAGAGGGTCAGAAGCCGCTGAGGTATGGCCGCCACACAATCAACTGCCTGCTTCTCCTTTCTCATCGAGAATCCTCCTAGCCACCAACACTTCCTACCTCTGCCTATTCCACCATGACACAAAGAGAGTCTGACCCTCCCCATTCCACTGCCTCAGCCACAGGCAATAAGAGCTAGAAAGGGCCACATCCTGTCCAGTCCATACCTGGAATCCTTACTGAGGTGTCAGGTGGCTGAGCAGGCTCTGGACACCACCTCGACCCCCTCTATCTATTGAGTGAGAAGCAACTCTCTCTCAGACAGAATACCAACCACCACAGAATACCAACAACTACATTTTTGACATTTATTGTTTACTGTATGCCAGTCACTGGGGTTAAGGGATCCCTGTTATCGCTTTGATCTCCAAAGAAACTATATGGATTCACATTTTAGGGGTGAGAAAATGGAAGATCTTTATGAAATGACATTCCTACTTAATGAGGGATTGTCCCATGTCAAGAACGATATCCCAATATAAGGAATGAGACTATTGTATAAGGCACGCATATCCCCTAAGGAATGGTCTTTCCCCCATCACATTCAGAATGGTCTACACTCCATATGGAATGATCTCCTCCCCACAGTGGCTTCTCCAAACACCACCCCCTATAACAATGGACTCTTCTCAACCCAGAATGGTCTAACAAATATCAGAAGTGATTCCTCCACTGTCCCAAGGACTGAACCCCCATATAATGAATAGTTTAAAAAAAAAAAAAACTCACTGCCATCCAGTCAGATCCGACTCACAGCGAACCCTCCTTGGGTTTCCGAGGTGGTATCACTACCGAAGTGGATTGCCCAATCTTCCTTCCGAGGAGTGGCTGGTGGGTTTGAACCGCCAGCCTTCTAGTTAGCAGTCAAATGTCTTAGGCACTACGTCAATGAATAGTTTAACCTACTGAGGATGGTCTGGTTCCCTCAACCACATAAGGAAACATTTCCCTACACTTCATGTAGTCCAGTTGTTTTTCCCCATCCCCACTCACCCCCACCCTCGACAAAGAATTATTCCTTATTCTTCCCACACTCACAACAAACTCTCCCCTCTATAAAGAAGGACCGGGCACCCTCACTACATTCTTTCTTCACTCTATAAGGAAGGACCCTTCCACTCCAACATGCAATGAACTCTACCTCCGTTAGGAAGGGACCCCTCAGAAGAGTCTTCTCCCCTTATAATGAAGGATGTCCCTCTGTCAAAATGGACCCTCTACTCATATAAGGCAGCCCCTGCCCCATGCTAACTCACTATGGTCTCTGTCCCTTTTTAAGGAAGGAACCATGAGCTTCAGGATGGTCTTTCCATTCTGGACGAACTCCCCCCAACCCTCACAATGGTCTCTCCCTTCTATAAGTAAGGACCACCATATACACTCAGAATGACTTGGCCTCCCAAGAGAAAATACTCTTCACACTTGGAACGGTCTCTACCCCTCCACATGCGGAAGGAACACCCCCTCACACCCACACACCCACCAATCACCCTCAGAATGGTCTCTTCTTTGCCCGTAGAACATTCACAATGGTCCACTCTTTGCTCTCTCCCCCATAGACTTGGATCAGTCCATACGGGATGCTCCCTCTCGCTTCAAAAAGGAACCTTCTCGACCCCCAGCGATCCCGGCCCATGTTCCGCTGCGGACTGCTTGGCCACAGCCCATCTCACCCGCACTCGCGGTCCCAGGCTCCAACGCCCCCACGGAGACCACCCCTGGCCCAGCCGCAGCAGTGGAACCACCAGCCCCAACCGCTGCCATGTTGGCATCTGCCCGGCCCGTCCCCTCGGCAACTGCAGGCCACTTCCGTGTCCGTCACTTCCCCTTCCAGGTCTCTGGACTGAGGACGGAGCGAGTGCGCAGTCGGTTAGAGCGGTAGTAGTTTTCCTTGTTTGCTCCTTAAGGCTGAGTCTGAGGGCAAACTCGGGATTTCTAAATTCCATTGGGACTGAGACTGGGGACGCAGACGACTTGGCCTCACTGCGGACTTTGCAAAACCACATTGGTCCATCCCACTGCTAGACCCGCCCCCGCCTTCTTTCTCCCACCTTTTGATCCTGCTTTACTTATCACGCTTCCATCCTTTCTCTTCCTCTCATTGGTTTCGTTGCCATTGGATATTAGATTCTCCCCCTACCCCCCGCCCCATCGCTTTAAACACCTTCTTGCCTCTTTATTGGCACCTCCTTCAGATGGCACCTCCCTTTCTGAGTCAGAAACTTCCTAGGTCCTTCCTGGTTGTACTGAAGTTCCACTTTCCCCTCTCCCAGCTAGGCCCCGCCCCCTGGGGCGCCCGCGGGAATCTGCAAGAATGGGACCTTGAGGAGGCTGAAAAGCATCAAAGTGGGGGCAGGTAAGGTCAAGCAGGTAAGCTACTATATAAAAGTGAGGAAAGCACAGAACAGTTGAGACTGAAAGAGAGGAGGACAAGTGAACCACCGCTGAGCATGGAGAAGTGAGATGGGGACAGGTTAAGTCAGCCAGTGAGGTGCAAGCAGGTAAGGGCAGGACATGAAAGCCAGCAGGTAGAGGCTCGCAGGTTAGATAGCCTTTCAAAGCAGGGCAGGAGAGGACAACTGAGGTCAGGACAAGTGAAATTAAGAATAGTGCAGGGGAGAGAAGTCCAGAATTGAGGAAGAAAAGATGAGAGGGATGAGCAGATGAGGTGAAGACAGGGGAGAGGCATCTTCAGTTTCTCCCAGTATCCAATGGAGCCCTTCTGCACATACATAGCACTACATAGTGCTAGAAAGAAAATACTTTTTCTTTGTGGTCCTGCTTCAATAAACCCATAAAAACTCTTTAGGTGCAAGACGCAAGACCAAGTCTTCCTCAAAGCAGAGGAGAGTTCCATCTAATTCCCCTCTTGGCTCAACCTATAGTACCCAACCTAAACCCACTGTCAGAGTCGGTTCAGACTCATGGCGACCCTATAAGACAGACTAGAATTGCCCCATAGTTTCCAAGGCTGCAAATCTTCATGGAAGCAGATTGTCTCATCTTTTTTTGGTGGAGTGGCTTGTGGGTTCAAACCACCAATCTTTTGGTTAGCAGCTTTAACCAGTGTACCACCAGAGCTCCTTCAAAAAAAAAAAAATGCAACCACTGCCATGGAGTTGGATCCAACTCATAGCGACCCCTCCTCCTTGGATTTCCGAAGCATTATCCCGAGGAGTGGCTGGTGAGTTTGAACCACCAGCCTTCTGGTTAGCAGTCAAATGCCTTAGGCACTACACCACCAGAGTTCCTTCAGCCAACAGTAAATGCTCCATAAATGCTTTGCTGTATTTAAGAATAGCAGTCACTTCTGATTATATTATGTTTATTAAATAGTAGGTCTCCACACATGGCTTTTTAAATAATCCAGGCGGGGGAAAAGGGAGAAGAGAGCACACTTGGAGCTCCCCACTCCCCAATACATAAGTATTTACAGTTCCCCAATTGGACAATCCTGGCTCCTCAGCAGCAAGAATCTGCAAAAGTTGGAGAGAACCCCAGAACAGGCAACAAGACTTACTTCCCCCTCCTTATCCCCTAAAAAACCATCCACCCCATCCTAGTCTCTGATGTTGCCCATCTCCCATTCCTTCCCAAGTCATGGAAGTGGGGTTTTCCTCACCAGAATAATAAGAGCACTTGAGATAACAGCAGGATCCCCTCAAAAAAAAAAAAAAAAAAAAAAAGAAAGAGAGAGAGCTCTGGGATAACGATAGGGCATTGCCTCCCCCAGAATAAGCAACACTGGGCTGAGGTAGGCGGGCAGCTTGACCGAATATGGGACCTTAGGCTAGGGGAAAGGGTCCCTTTGTCAAAATAAGAGCTGCTGGGGTATTGGAAGGAAAGCACCCTTGCCCAAGAAAGGGCATTTGAACTAAGTGTGTGTGGTGATAGTAGGAGGTGCCAGTGTAGGGACTGCAACTTATTAGAATAAGAGTCTTGGGGCTTAGAATGGAAGTAATTTCAAATAAACATCCTTAGCAAAATGGGAAGCAAAGAAGTCTTCCCTTCCAGAAGAAAAGACCAGAGGTTCTCTGAGGAAGGCTCCTTAGAAGGACTGGGATGGGAACTGGGCAGACTTGGCTATGTCCTGTGACCCCTGATCCCCACCCCCTGT